GACTTATGATATACGGTGTTACTGCTGATTTTGCCTGTTAGTTAACTTACTTCCGTGTAGTCGATTTATTTATTGATTTATTTCGCATTTAAAATACAGATTAACATTGATAAAAATGTGAAAAGTTCACAAAAGTACAAACTGAGGAGGAACTAGTTGTTGAATACCTTCTGAAAATCCCAGATATAGCCTAAAGCTAATCTTAAGAATTATTAACTAGGATAGGAGGCGCCCGAATCCGAGATGGCCGAGACTCAACAGGTGCTGACTGTGGTTCAATTAGATTGAACCCTAGCCAGCGATGAAGGCGTATCCCCATACTTCGGTTTGGGTGCTGGCATGGAATTCAAATTTCACTTCTTTTTATTTTGTGGTTTTGGTTTCCGTTCCATCTTTACACTTGCCTGATAGCGCTTAGAGACTTTTTGTATTTTGCGCTCTATAAATTAATAACCATTAACCATTAACCATTACCAATAAGTGGTATAACAAATTGTACTAAAACATTTTACACGGCGGTTTGGCGTAGCAATTTCCATTCAGGTTCTGAACCTGACGTGGCCAGAATGATAAGAATAATATATAAATATATTTAAAATGCCAAATATTAATTTCGATTGACGATTTTGCTTTACAGAAGTAAATGAAAAAGGAGACAAATTACAAAAAAAAGAAAAAAAAAAGTCATGGTGCAAGACCAATGCCAGGTATTATTACCACCAACAATTTCCAGTGGAGCTGGCCTCGAAAAAAGAATAATTGTTGTACAAATATAAAGAGAATATAAAGAAAAATATATATAGTAATCAGTAAACACGGCCAGAGTGATAAGATTAGGATATAAATATATTTTTAATTCACAGTTTTGTTCAAGTTTCACTTTTTAAAAATGTACAAACAAAGATGAACACATGAAACAGAGTAGGAAATAAAATTTCTTGTTGAGGTCCACATTCTTTAAAACATGCAAATGAATATTTGTGTTTACAGCAATAATGTAAATATTAAAATGTTTGTAGATGTCTAGACGCCAATATTGAATATGTTGACATTAACCTTAAATTAATTAATGATTATTGATAACTTTTATAAGAACTTTTATAAGAAATTAAAGAGAAGGATCATTTGAATGTCTTGATGACGCCAGCCCAGTTTGTTTGGTTTTTTTTAATTTGAGGATTAATAATTGACTCAAAAATAATAAAATTAAACAATTACTAAAATAGTACAGTAATATTTTATTTAACAATACCTTTTAGCCACAATCCTTTACAAATACCATACCAATAATAATTACTGAATAAGTATATATATATATAATAAATAATCAAAGAAAGGACATAATAATACATCGCGTAGCACAGCTCTCAACGAATGTAGTCCTGTAAATAAATGAATAAAGTTGTGTAATAATGTGTAATAATAATGTGTAAAAATAATAATTGTGTAATGCCTCTGGCGGGATTCGAACCTGCGACCTCTCGCTGTCAAGGCGAGCGTCATAACCATTAGTCCACGGAGGCTTCATTGAAAAATCACAAAATTGATAACGTGGACAGAGCTAAACAATTCTTTGATTCGTTGCTGTACGATCATTATTGATTAAATTTTGCATGGATTATCATGATCCTTGTTCAAGCAACACGCATTAACTCCAATCATATACTGCTCCTCTTTACATTTTTATCTCTTTCCCGACTTCAAATTAACATAAGCTGTTTCTTCTTCTCTATATTGTAGATCTTGGTAAGTCTGGTTTTCATTGCCAGCAGTTGGTCTATCTGCCGTGAAGTCCATGTAAGTCTGTGTCGAGATATGGAATGCAATATATCAATGTAATTTATCGTTTGTAACTTGTTGCTTAATTGAAATGGATTTATACGCTTTTATACATTCTTAAAAACACATTCTCACTGGCGCTCATCCATAGTGATAACTAAGCAACAAGCGAGGACATGATAGAACACAATCAAGTGTGTGAGTGAGTGAAAAATAAATAAAATTCGGGAGGTTTATAGATTCTTTTAGAGGGCCTATTCCCAAAGATTTAAATATTGGAGTAGGCCTACGTTTTACAAGTATACAAACACTTTTAATAATCCGTAGAATATCAACTGTCAGTCGGCATATTGTATGTTTTTTCATTGATATCAGACTTTGTTTGGCCTAAAAACCGAAGCGGTTGCATACCATTGTTAGGCCTGAATATGGAAAGAATCAGTGTTATCAACGATGTGGATAGGGACACGGTACCGGAACAATTGTCGTTTGACCAACGTATTATAATTTATGGGTAAGTCTAGGAAGGCGTTATCAATAGAATATATTATTAACCTCAATCTTTTGAAAAATGAAACACATAATTAGGCCTACAGATACCATGGCTTTTTGCACGTGGCACAAAGTGGATTGGTAACACATATCAGAGGTGAATTAAAATAAAAACTTACATCTTGTTTACTCTTGTCCGTACTTCTCTTGTCTATTTTTGTCTTCTAAATTGTAATTAAAAAAAAATATTAATACAATTTGCAGTCGTTCTGTTTAGGCCGATTTGTTTTATTTAAATTTTACAATTAATTTATATGTTTATTTATTAATTAAAGTTTAACAATGGAAAGCCTGCCAATTAAGCCTACAGAATGAAGATTGAAACCACATGATAAAACACAAGAAAATACAAAAATTTGTTTCATTTTGTGTAATACTTTTCTGGGGCGGATGCAGGATTTGGCGGTAGGGGGTGAGTGAGTGTCCAGACCACCTCAGCCCTAATATGGTTTGGGCTGAGGCGGGAAAATTTGCAGAATAGGTGCCCGAAAATTACACTCATACCTTAAAACTTTTATCTGTAATTCATAACAATATAATACAATTATTTTTCTTCATATAATTTAAGGGGTGTGGGGGGTGCGATCGCACCGTCTGCACTCCCTTTGCATCCGCCCCAGCTATCTGTCCTTTTTTAGAATTTCAAGTCAGAGTTCAACCAGGACGATTTTACTGCAACATAAATAGAAGGATGGGGGTGAGGGAATGTTGTTTAATTTGGTAATTGAAAGCAATAATCCTGAATAGAACATGAACAATAATTGTGTTAATATGCCTATCTGAGAAACCTGTTTAATCCTCGTGTAGACGATCAATCCACCAATTACCCCGAAAGCTCCAATAATGATGCCCACAAATAGCATTCCAATTGTCAGACTCGTGCTACTTGAACAGACTGAACAGACTGCTAGGGGAGAACATACTATTAGTAGGTCATTATACCCCTTCAATCATAATTATTTATTATGATGTAATAATAATGTTGAATAAAGAATAATATGCAATAAATTAAAAAACATGAGTAGCAACCACAACAATAATACCAATAATAATAATAATAATAATAATAATAATAATGTAAAAGGCCTAATAATGATAATGATGATGACAATATGGTATGATAATGATGGTAATGATTGCGATGATGATGATTATGTTGTTGTTGATGATGATGATGATGATGATGATGATGATGATGATGATGATGATGATGATGATGATGATGATGATGATGATGATGAAAAAAATAAATGATGGTAATGAAATGATAATGATGGTGGTGGTGATGATGAATCAGGATTCGATGTCAGATTACGAAACGTGTAGGCTTGACACCTTGACCGTTGCTCAATTGTGTCCAAAATTTACTACAAACTCGTAAAATGTAATAATGAGCCATTATCTTTATTATATAATTAATTTTTCGGTACAAATTTTAACCTATTTGCTTTTCTTCCTTCTTTCTGTCTTTTTGTAAACTCTAATAAACAATAACATAATTGTAACATTACTTATTTATAGCTTTATTTAAATATTATTATATTATATATCAAATAAATATCTAAAAATTTATTTTTAAAAAAATGTAAAGAATCAAGTGAGTAAGTTACAGAGTTTTTAGAGTTTTGAATAACTTTTCCAATCTTCTAATCAATTTTATATAGCCGGAGCTAGTTTCGACCTAGGCAAACCTTGCTAAAAAAGGTACACTTTCTCCATATAAAGGCTTATTCTATGAATGAAATGTTCGAAGCATGAACTCTTGTAGACCAAACCCAGTACCGTTACGTATTTTTAATCGTGAGGGAAATCCACTCATGATGGATTCTATGTCGAATGAATAAAGAATGTAGGCTGCCGGCACCTTGACCTCGAAAGATTAGTGGCTACAAATTTTCACAAAAACGTGATACAATAATGACAAAATGATTATTATTATTTATTTTTTATTTTCGGTATCATATTTCAGCCGCTCCGAGTTTCTTTCCTACTCTTCTTTCTTTCCTATATGCTTCTTCCATATTTATGTTAAATATAATTTATTTAACTATACTTAAGCATTATATATATATACTGTATATATATTTCGATATAATTACATATTCTAACTGGACTAGGACTCTTAGACCTAGGCATATGTATACATTGTACCTGTATTTAACATAGGCCTATTTCATATTGTCAATCTAAAGTCGAGGATATGTCCTGGTCTCCGACCATTTTATGTTCACTTGGATAGGCTTATCTCATAAGACTTCTCGAATGGATACCTTGTTTGAAGCAAGAAACCAAGTTTTCTTTATCCAGTACCGCTCGTCTATTTTATTCGTGTGGGAAACATTTAACATATATTACTTCCTTCCAAAAGCGAAAAAAAAACTCAATATCCTTGCAAATCAGAAATTGTCCCTCTTCACCGCCAACCCCAGTATGTGTATATATTCATGTAGCAGTTGCAATTTTACTGTTTCGATGCCATACCAACCACAATAATACAATAAATAAATAATAATGAAATATTATGTATATGAATATATTATATAAAATGTATAAGTAGCTGCACTGCATTTTAATAAAATAATAATTATATTTTATATTTTGTCATTTTTTTTTCTATGGTTATAGAACCATCATATGTTTTCTTACCCCTCCTCTGTATATAGGCCTACTATGTTTTCTTTTTAATGTTAAAAATTAAGGAAACAATTGTTATTAGTTGTTAGTTATTAATCAAGTCGTATCGTTATAAGCCTTGATTCCTGGTTCTTGATAGGCTGCCCGCAGAGCCGTTAAATCTGGCCCGTGTGAAAAAAATCAGCAAAGGCCAAAGATTGGTATTGTAAGTTCTAGCTATACAGTACATGGAAAAGTCTTGAAAGAATTGTTAATTGAGTAGACTCAAAATCAAGGTGGTTTTAGGTTTTAATTTACTAAAAATAGCACTATGGCACTGCCACCTTCTAATCTTCTCTAATCCCCTCAGCTATTTTTTTTAATCTGGGGGATTTTTTTCTCTCGGCCGGCTATTTTTTCCCGGCTATTTTCGTCCAGTATTTTTCCGATGTATGGCTTTTTTCATATAAGTTCATGTATAAGGCAGAACATTATTTGTTTTTATTTTTGCTTTTTTTTTTTCACTATATATTGTCCTGTTACACCACACAGGTGTGCCGATGATTAAAAAAGCGTATCCAATCAATTGATTGATCGACTCTTGATGCATTCGAAATTCTGATGAAGAGTAAAGACACATTTTAGAAAGGTCTTTTTTTGTTTGAATCCGGGTTCACTTAAGAAATAGAGGAAAATTGAATCTGGAAGTCATTTTTAAACATACTTACCATTTGGCCTATAAATATCACACCTATTATCTAGTCGTTCATTATAGTGTATATACATGTGGTTGCATCCGCTAATACTTCGGCAAGGTGCGCGAATATTATCAAAGTAAGGGGCAGTAGACACAAAAATCGGCATGGAAAAACCAAAAATTTGTTACCCTTTTATTCCTGTTAAACAGCGACAAAAGGAAGGACGGATGATTTCAATAATTTGCACTCTCAGTGCCTTTTGGTGATTCTCTTCTACGATTATTACACCTATTTTACACCTAAAATTCTCCACTGTTTCTGGTAGCATAACCATGGAGGAGGAATAAGTTTAGTACTTGTTCATTCATGGTTTCACCATAGAGAAAATAGGTTTCACTATCATTATGGTTATTAACCGTTTTATAAATCATGCGGGTAGTCCTAATAATAAGGCTATAAGTTCACAAAAAGTGTTTATACAATATAACTAACGTTTAATACACTGAATGCAATTTCAATTTTCTTTCTTTATCTTGCAAAGAAGACAACTGTAGTGTAAACAGAATATTGATATGTATTCTTTTCTAATTGGTTTCAGAATTTAGATTTTGCATACCATAATATATTTTATAAGTCAGTCGTGACGTCATCACTGCAACTCCCAATGTTATTTGCCTATCCCCAACAGTCCACTAATTTTTCAATAAGTGGACGCTTGGCTTGATTGTTTAGGTTCGTGTGCAAAAAATATACCTAGGCCTAATTGTTTCGTCACCGTGAAGATACCGTGCAATGAAAATTGAATTGTAATTTAAAATTGCTTTAGTAAAACAAGGTTAATTAAAACCCGAAGAAAGTTACTTCAAATATAATATTAATTATGAACAGTTAAGGAAATCTTTGAATCAATGAACCCTAATAAACTGAAACCAACTGAACGTTTAATAAGAATATTCTAGACTTATTATTGAAGACTCAATGCACGAAGTTAGATGGAGGCCTACAAGCATGTAGTCGTATCTTAGCGTAGTTATGAAATCATCAGACGAATTTTACCTGCCTGCACCGACCAATCGGTGACTGTATTCTCTCTCGAATCTTTAAGAAATGTTTATTTCTTTGACGAACTTATAAAAAAAGCATTACAAACAAGGGATTATAACACAATATACAGTTACAATAGTTATTCATCGTATCCGTACTACTGTAGCACAATAAAAAGTAGAATTTGAAATTACTGTACCAAAACAATTATAACGAGTTGCTTCATGACTCAGATATTATCTGTGGCCCGTGAGCTCAACTAAAAAAATATTTGGTCCTTTAAACAAATTAATTAGGAACTAGGGGCCTAGATTGTGGGTGCAAATTAGTGATGGGTTTTGTGTCTCTATACATGGGTTAAAGGGTGAAGGCAGGCAGGTTTAAAACAATCATGTTTTTTGGGGAAGGCGGGTGTGTTTAAATTTGATCTGCTTTGAGTTACTTGGTTTTGTTTTTCTTTGGATTCATCGTGTCTGACGAGTACCACTGTTGTAAAAGTGTCGTTTCGAAATAAACAATAATAGGATAAGAACTTTCTGACAAGATTTATGTAATGTAATTAATAGAGGTAAAATTTTAGTTGTACATGTGTTGATGATGTGTTGTGTTTGTTCATGACTAGGTAGATCAAAGATCATCCCATTGTTTCAGACACGGTTGGGAACTTGAACAGTCAGTAGTTTAAGATATAGTGGCAAAATAGTTAAATAACATCATATTATAGCCTTTGGTTTCTCTATAAATGTGAAAAAAAATCAAAACAAATATCGCGACTACAGTAACCGTTTCTTAATGTGGACATCAAAACTGGAACTGGTATTGATACAAATAGTCATCATTTTCAAGACGTGAGGCAGACATCAGACATTGACTTCAGGTTGACATCAATAGTGGGACACTGCTTTTAAAACTATAAAAATATGGAGCGAACCAACAGCAACGTTGTAATTTTTATAGAGAAAAACAGTATAATGTAGTGATTATTATGCATATGCACAGATACATAAGTCCTTTCACATGGATTGGATGCACAACAGCAACACATACTCAATATTGATGTTATTTAAACATGATTTATTATACAAATGTTGCATTTTCAATAATTTAGTCCTTTACTATGCAATGACGAAAATTCTTGCCGAATGCTGGGTCTGTTACTAACATCTAACGCATTAATCGACGGGTGCAATGTATTTCAGCATTAACATTCCTATACGCCATCGTCTTATCTTTTTTTGCAATATTCAAATTTTTTCAAAAATTCAAAAAAAAAAAAAAAAAAAAAAAAAAACCCCAACAGCTGACTAGTAACTATTGCTATTGTGTACTCACTTTCACAACGATTTGTATTTTTATCAAATTGTCTACAACCACCACAGTAGCATCCACAAACGCCATTCCCATCACTGTAGTACATGTCCCCCTTATCCAAGTCACAGCCATCCTTGTAGATGCAGTCTATAAACACAAATAAAACTGATGACGTCAGGGGGTTGGGGTCTGACCGGTGCATATGCACCCTCCCTTCCCTCTAAATTACCGAAAATCCACATTTTCCAGGGTAGAAAATTCAAAAATTATACCCCACCCTCAATTTGTCAAAATTATTTTAAAAAAGAAAAGAAATTTATATTGAAATTTAAGTCTGAGAGTGCCATCTCCGGCCATCTAGAAGTGCCATAATCATAAATTTATTTACCCCAGCCCCGACCATGATGGGTGGGGTTGAGGTGATATGGACTCTCAATCTGTAAGTGTCCTTTCCTTGCCTATATCAAATTCTTTGATCCCCCATTGACAGTGGGGATTCAAGAAACCCAATCGCCCAGCCCCCTCAATTTTTCAAAATTAAAAAAACAGGGAAAAATGATATTCGAGTTGTATGATAGTGCAATTTCTGTTCATTTGAAGGTACTATAATAATCAATTTTCTTACCTCAGCCCCAACCATCATGGTAGAGCTGAGGTGGTATTCCTTCCATCTGTGAAAGTTTCTCCCTGGCCCCTCTTAAAATTACTAGATCCGCCACTGAAAACCGTATATGAATCTTCAGAACCTAAGTTATCAAATATGCCTGAGCTCCGCCACCTCGATCCCAGCAGGGCCCCCCGGAACCATTTTAGTCCACTCACTACAAATACCTTACACAAAAACAACGCGAATTGAAACAATGACTCACGAATCTTTTTTTTAAATTTATTTAACTGGTAATGCTGCAACTTTTTATATGATGTAATTGGTTGTATAGTATCGATTATATAGTTTATTATGCTTAATATTAATAATTAATTTAAAATTAATTAATATTATGCTTAGTAATTAATATTTAATTTACTTACTTGTGCAATTTAATCCATGGAAATGATCAGTGCATCTACAATTGTAGCCTTCTTCAACAACTGAACACGTGCCACCATTTCCACAGGGCTCGTCAGCACATGGACTTGCTACAGAAAAAATACCACTCACTAGCTATCCACAACATATGTACATAAAACATTATAAAGAGGCCTAGTTGTTAATTCACGAACATTCATTTTAAAAGATAAACATTTCAAAGTTTACAAAAGACAGTTAATACTACCGAAGGTTTATCGTTGATGTCTTAGTGTCTATCTTCAATCCTAAGAGCATCAGTAGATAAGCAGTCTTTCTCTACTCGAGCTCAAGCTTACCTCTTACAATTATCTTAATCGACTTTGATGTCAATCCAATGCTATTAGCAACATCCACTCTTATTGTAAACACTGTGACGTTAACATCTGGTACATTTACTGTAAAAGTTGCTGGGTTAGTGTCTACATCTTCAATTCCAGAAGGATCAGTGGTCCATTGATAAGTGACATCACTAGGATTAGCTGATATTTCAAGTTTAATAACATACTGTTCATCATGACCAACAGTGTCTTCGTTTGCTAATCCAAATTCAGGTTTATCTGGAGGACAGAATTATAGTGATTTTTAAGAATTATAATGACGAAATAAAGGCAAAGGTAAAAGAAAAGGTTAATATAAACCATAGCATATAAATTCATTATGTTCTCAATCATGTTTACTTCTTTTTATTATTATGCACTTATGAAAAAAATAAGGGGAAAAAACCTAAAAGAAGTAATTATATATGTGTTATTTTTAGCATAAGTCTGTAGTGATTCAACCATTTTATGTTAATTACCTTATGAATATTCTTTTTATTTTACCAGAAATGTTATTTACGTTATAATGTCCATGTTTATCATAGTATATTTTTATAATAAAATAATAGATACATAACTCTCATATTGTAATAGGCATATTTTAATATCATCATTTTTTTCAACACATGTTCACGGTAGCATTGTCAAGCACTCTTAAGCTGACTTGTAGCAATTAAATACTGTCTCTTATTTGGAATACTGTCTTCTGTGTGGTCATTGCCTAGACTGCATTGAGTTACTAAAAATCATTAACAGAAAGCATGGTGAAAATAGCAATATCAGATGCGTAATTGTCAATAGGGCATTCTGGATGTTATATTAATTCAATATAGCTGCCATCATAGTACTATGTAATTTGGATTTACACATTTAACAAAAGAAAAATCAGTATTAATTGACTGATTTTAAACATCTATTTTAATTAAAGTAATCATAATGCTGAAAAATACTTGACAACTCACTGTCTCTTATAAAAACAACTCCTACCAGTTTTCTCTATTGACTTTTCACATGAAAATAGATATTGACTAATATGCTGTTCAACATGAATTATTACATTAAACTATACTGTAATTTGACAACTATTCATTAATGATATTTTGTAGATTTGTACTAAAAAGAACTTTTACTAAACGACACAAACTTCCAATTGTCATTGTGTTTGGGCAACACACATTAAATGAAAAGTCATTCATAAAATCATGTTGAGACACTTACACTGAACGTCCAATTGTTTAACTTGTGATGTATCAGTACCAGCGATGTTACTTGCTACACATTTGTAGTTTCCTCCATCACTCCTCGTCACATTGTCTATATTGTATGCTAGATTTTTTGTTATTTCCGTCTTGATCAGAGCCTCATCTTTATAGAGAATGATTGTTGGATCAGGTTCGGCATTTACTGAACACACACACATTACAGATTCACATTCAGCAACAGGATTAGGAGTAACGTCTAACAATATTGAATCTAAAACTGCAATACAAAAATATATTAATATAATTCTTATCATTCAACTATCCCTTTTTGTGTTTTTTTTTTTGTTTTTTTTGTTTTTTAACTGGAAGAAATTAGACATGGACTATTCTTTCACTTCACTCACCTGGTTTTTTTCAGTGGCAGAGAAATATCTAATATTTTAAATACAATTTTTTTTCTATAGTAAAACAAAAGTGAACTAAAATCCATAACTCATAATCCACCTAGCGGCTGTTCAAGGTCGTGTGAAAATCGCGCCTCGTATCATTCAAAATCCAGTTCGTGTAAAAGAATTATGACATATGAAAAATGATGATAATATAGGAAGATTTGGTATCATTTTTTCCTCATTTAGGCCTATCTATTTTTCGACTTGGTGATTGGGCAGATCACCGAAAAGAGTCGACATAGCATCCCTCCGTGTCATTTCAAATGTCACATACTGGTGTACCAAGATCGATCTCTGTTTTGTGCATAGAAATTTAGTGTTCTTGTATTTGTAAACGTGAATTCAAATCATTCAATTCACCTGAATTTACTCAGTGTATTAACATTTATAAATGACTATTAAAAATTATAAAAAAACTTGCAAATTGGATCATTAATATGAACATGTGTTCCCATAAATACATTGCATATTGGTATATGGTTATGAACAACAATAAGAATATTGAATGAGTTCAAACCGATGGGCTAAAGTTGTAGGCTACTCACATGCAACACTTATTGTGACTGCACCAGATACTGGTGAAGGTGGATCATTTAGAACGTTAACCTCACATTGATATATGCCATCATCAGTTCGCATCGTGTTATCAATAACAAGAGTAAGTTGAGAGCCATCGCCTTCAACACTAAATCTATCAGCATAATCCATATTCACAGGACCAGGTACTTCCTGATACTCCACTATTGTCACAGGTGAGCCGTTGACAACCTCTCGCCATCTAATAGTTGGATCATTAGTATTTGTAGGATTACTTTTTTGAACGGTACAAACTAATCGTGTTTCTTGGCCTTCAACAGCATCCCCATCAATAGATACTCTGACAGTTACAGCAGAACATAAACTAATACAATTGGAAATAAACAACATAATCACTGTGTGTATTATTTGATTACTAGTACACGAAAAGTAATAATATAGGCCTATTGACTGATCCCGCTTCTATAAGTTTGTCAATGTTTACTCCTACTGGTAATGTATTAAGTTGATGAAATTGAATAAGATTGTCAGAGTCTTGATAAGATGTGTATAAGAGACAGGTGTCTTTTGGGATTGGCAGGGCATTGTAAAGGCTGGCCAGTAACTATCTGGCATAAGATGCATTCATTCCAGTTTATTGCACTTCGTTCATGTTCATAATATATAGGCCTAGTCGTTTCTAATACTGACTTATCTAATTCTTTTGTCATAGGCCATATCTGTTGTACTAGTGCTGCTTTATTATTAGTGTAATACCTACAACTGTACATATTTGTTGCTTAGCTTGTTTCACATGAGAAAAGAGTAGTACAAGGAATATCTAAGACAATTTTCAACACATTTTAATATATTTTAGGCCTAATCTAGACAAGGTCTAAAAATTTGATACGCATAAATAATACTATTGATAAGTAATAAAGACTAACAATTGTAGGCCTATGCCTTCGTATCTCGTTTTTATATGAAAATATGAAAAATCTCAAAACTAGGCGTTAGTGAATGTACTTACAATAGGCATACGCTCGTATAGAGCCTACGGCAAAACCATGTCTACCTACTATGATTCATAAGCCTTTCATTATTATGTAATAAAAGGTAATAACTACAGGAGTTGTTATTTGTTTAATATAAAAAATAGGCCTACTACAGTACTACTACTACAGTATATCAGTGAGTTACATGACCTGTATTATCACACAATTAGCTGATAAGTCGCAAGTTATACACAAAGAACATCAGGAAAAAAATTATAAATTTTTGTAACTTCGCTAAATAACTAGCTGTCTTTTTAAATCTCGTCTGACAACTACTACTTGTTACAATTTTTGTACCCGATAGTAACGTAGCACTGTATGTTCAGTCATGCGTGTACCCTCTTCAATCTACACATACTGTACAACACAGTATTTTTCTTAGTTGTGCTATGCTGATACCTCAATTTCATTTACTTCCTGTAGATTATATAAAAATGATTAACCAAATCAATTACATACCATTAAAAAGCTAATTAAATATAGAATATAATTATGTTAAAAAAATAAATGTTAATATTTTGTAACTTTGTCTGGAGTTTATAAAAACATGCTGCCTTTCAAAAAAAATCCAATATATTTATTTTTAAAATTTTACAAATGTTCGCCACTTGAGGGCGGCGTTATTGCATTTTTTTTACATTAAAAGATAAAAAGTACTTGTCAATAATAGTTTTATGCATGACACCACCATTATTTATATAAACAAAGAACCAATATTAGTTTAAAGTACTCTTTTATATTGAATATAGCTAAAAATAGAGGCCTCTAGAGGGCGCTATTCGTGAGTCCCAAACTTAAAGATGTGCTGTTCCTTGAAAATGACCAAAATCATAAAAAATAATTTTTAAATTAACTTGCTCATTTTGCAGTATCATTATTAACTTGAGCACAGAAATTATTAAATTAAAAAAATTTGTTCCCTGATTTTTTAACTGGATAATTATAATAAAGATAATAAAACACTTCCAGTGTGTTTCTATCATTTTTTTTCGCTGTAAAAGGATTTTTTTATGGGTAAGCATGTTTTAAATACACTAATGGGCAAGTAAATTTCAAAAATGATGTTTATGATTTTTTATGTTTTGTTTTGTTTTTTGCAAGGAACAGAGTACATCTTTAAAATGTTCGCTATGGTTTATCGGCCGAAACTGCTGGACATTTTATAGTATAACACTTTGACCACGTAGCCGTGCTTCCTTTTGTTACCCATATACCAAGGCATAGAGGCTTCCACCAACAAAAGCACAAACAAAATGAACCATTGATTCAGGGCTCTTTCCTGAACGGCCAGAGCGATAATTCATATTCTGGTGACCACTGCTAATGGTCATTTTAGTTTGTATTTTTGTGAGTTGTTCTTTTTTAGTTGCACATTTTATAGTTAAGTTTGCTTCATGGCGTATAAAGGAGGCCTCCAGTATCGCTCCTGTTTTGTAGTAAAACTCCTGTAAGTCGGAGAAATTCGTGAAAACATCTTTTATCGTGTCGGGTGAAATCCCGTTTACATTACAACACCATTAACAGGGCCGGATGCATAAAATGTCCAAAAGGGGCGGAAGACCGAGAAACAACACAACACTATGAAATTCTTCTTTTCTGACACCCCGAAATAACCTCAGAGGCGTTTTGGGGATCAAGAAATATGTTTTCTTTCTATATTTCCCCCTCTTTTAACATTAGGGGCCCGCCCCTTCCCCCCCCCCCCCCCCCTCAACAAAAAAAAAAAACCCTGATTAATTCTTGATGCACTCAAACATCAATCCCGTGCGCCATAATATTGAAATGATATGACGGCATCTCAGAAAAGAAAAAAAAAAATTATAATACTGTAAGATAAGTCTGTCTTTCATAACCTGGGTAACCTTCTCAAGCTGGTGGCCATTTCCAGTTTAGTTTGTTGAGACCAGCGGCGGGCCGACGTAAATTGTGCAAGTAGGCCTATAATTTAATTTTAAATGCCCTCCACACCCATTCTCTTTTATAGGCTTATAACAGGCTAACTTATAGGCATATTATTAACATTGGCCTATGATAGGCCTTGTTTTGTAATGCCGTAATGAGGGAATGCAGTAGCATGGAGAATAAAAATTAAAAAAAACTTGCAGGTTCTCCTACCCACCCACGAGGAATTTTTAGAGCACAAAAAAATCTACTCATGTACTAAGTAGTTAAAAACAATGCCATAGCCAGAAATTGCCCGATGAGGAGCCTGATACCCGAAAAATCGCCCACATTTACCTCAGCCCTACAGTGGGTGGGGCTGATGTGAGAACATTTTAAAATTAGACACCTTCAGATTCCAGGAAATGACGTTTTCCGACTGTAAAAATACGTTTTGAAAGCACAGTTTTCATTGCTTAATCCCTTATATCCCATCAATCTACTAGATACTGTACAATGAGCTACACCCGGACTTGTTAACAATGCCATAGTAGGTGGTCGTGTTTCTGTTCAACGGAAAAACTTTTTTGCAAGTACAGTAGTGCAAATCGGGTGGAAAATGATTTATTTTTTTAGTAATGTTGCGTGAGTCGGATTAAAATCTTTGGAGGACCGGAGTTGGCCTGCGGGCCGTTGGTTGAATACAGAGGTTAGTGTTAATAACTTCTTGATCCTTAGGTGATTTATTCAAAATTTTTATTTGGAATTTTCAAGGTTTATCCAGATTTTGTTGGCAGTGATTGATTAAACGTTACACCACGGATGCCAAGAAAAACACATCGAATGTCTGAAAATGACTTATTTCCATTGGAGTCCTCCTGATGGTGATGGCCAGTACACTAGGAGACGATCCTCTACTCTTTGCCGAAGTGTACTTACATGGGCCATAATGCACACGGGACAAACGGAGAAACTTTCGAAAGAGGGTGCGCATATCGTAACTTACATTTCAGCCCTCTGAAACACAAAAACATCGATAGGAATTGAACAGACGACCAAGAGCTCGAGTGGCTACCACCCAGTTTAGCCGACTGAGCTAAACTGAAATAATAATAATAATAGATGTAATTTAATAAAGTATTATGACATAACTACCTGTACAACAAGGCCCAAGTAATGATAAGTCTTGATATCATATCTGATGCTACCTGAGAATACAAACAGTTCAAATCAATTACAGCAAAACAATACATTGGAGCATAATTGCTTTTCTACTCTCCAACATTCTATCATCATGATAAAACTAATCAAATAGTAGATGTAAATAAAATATAAATATCAAAAAATAGTAGTGTGAAAATGTATTATTAGTCACTGTCACCTACATCGGTCAATTTATTTTATTTTGAAAAAATACTCCCCCACCAAAATCATGAAAATCTCCAGGTTCTATTTTTTTTAGGACTGGTTTAAACGTTTATTTTTAACACATTCAGTAGCTTGGAGAGGTGGGGGTGGGGTGTAAAAAAAAAGCTGTGGGGGAAATAAGAACCGAAGCCCATCAACGACGAGGGCCTAAAGTTGAAAAATGAAAGTACATAATATAACTAAAATATTGTAATATTATGCATTTATGAGAAAAAAAATAACATGCATATATGAAAGGCTACGGTATCTTATCGTATAACTACAGAAAAGGGGTTTAAATATGTGGGAAACATATTGAACAATTTCCTTTAAGTGAAACCAGTATGCTTACGTAAACATGTGTGGAATATTTTAGTGTCAAATATAATGAGTAAACCCTTAAACTTAATTGGTTAGTTTCTACAAAATTTACTGAATTAAATTGATAATGTTTTCAGAGGTGTTTTTTTTTTTCTTTATCTCTTGTTCATTTTTTTTCATACGCCATTTTATTGACTGCCATAAGAAATACTGTAAATAAAAATAAATAAATAAATGCTTACGGCAGCGTGTAATATGTAGGTCTATTGTATTGGCTATTTTATTTATTTTTACGGTGAAACTTGATTTTTTTCTTTAATTTAGCAATCATTAACTTCGATTAATATAATTGTTATGATGGTTGTTATTATGGGTTCCGGTCCGTTGCCACCCGGGCCCGTTGCCACCCGACCTTTTGCCACCCGGCCTGTTACCACCCGGCCTTTTGCCACCCTGCACGTTGCCACCCGTCCAGCTGCCACCCGGCCTTTTGCCACCCTAGGCATTTTTAAAACGTTCTCGTTATATTTTTCATTAAGTGTCTTCCCTTCTTATTTAATGTGTTGTCGTTAACCTTAAATTAAATCTTACTACAAAAACAACAACATCATCATCATTAATATAGGAACTTTGATTAAACCAATGACTCGATAACTTGTCTTTCACATTTGACCATTTCATACTGGCTTTAGTAATATTACAATCGTACTCATTTTCAATTTGATTTTTAACTTTTAAGCCGAAAGATTTCCAAATAATATTTGCATTTAGCCAATAAATACAAAATGTAAGTAAAGACATAAGTTCATTCACAATTTTTTTTTTTTTAGTTCCAACAATAATGTTAAACCAGCTTATTGATTCTACAATAGAAAAGCACTTGGTAATAATTACGTTAAATCTTTTCCACACAGGCTGGATTTTTGTACACAGAACCAACATATGGTGTTCATTTTTTTCAATTGTCATATAAATCACTTGTAACTACTCTCCATGTTTTTGGTCTTGTATTTTTATCTTGTGGTACATCATCGTTTGACCCTTTTGAAATGATTATCCATTCATTTGGAATTGCATTTATAAGGGAAATATATTCAATGAGCCCATTTTTTTTTTTGGAAAGTGTAGGGATTAATGCACATGGCGTTAATATTCTATTATCAATCATAATGTCATTTATTAATTTATACCCAGCTTCTACCCAGACTTTAAAATACAATGATTTTCTGTTTAAAGTTAAAAATTTATTTTCACAGTACCCGCGCGAATAAGCGCCCCGTTTTAATAACCGCCCCTCTTCAATAACGTAAAAATTTCCTTAAGCGCTCCGTTTGAATAATATCATAAGATTTTCTTTTTAGCAAGTCAACTATCCAATCAATGCTGGGACTGTTGTTGTTGGCATGATTTGAGCTGCAGAGTGGAACCACATTTTCTTCTTAGGTCAATATCAATATGAGGATATTTCTCTTGGACAGATGAGAGCTCTGATTCCTGGATAGACAGTAGGCCTATATTTCCAACTTTCCCCTTCTTACATATTTGTCTAGGCCTAGCCCAACTCTTCTTTTTCTTTTTCCAACAAATTGCACCTTTAGCACATTCTCATCTCATTTCAAGAAACCTCCAGCCGTCCTGCTAATCTCAATCGGCCGATGGCCAACAAGCTAAACACTACCCACTAACGCTAATTGCATCTGCTATTCTGCTGTTAAGTAAATATTCACAGCATTCTTGTCATGAGCCATGTTCTCTGGGACATTTATGTTTTCCACCGCACCACCATTCGTATGTCCTTATATAACCTGTTTTTATTCAAAAAGTGCCTCTTGAATTTAATAAGTTCCCATAAGAACCCCTCGATTTTCATCTCCATAAGCGCCACCTCAATTTCCACTCTGTTTTCGTGAGCTCCCCGTTTAAATAAGCGCCCTGTTTGAATAAGCGCCCCTTAGAAAGTGCAACAAATAGTTTAAGCGCACGGGCGCTTATTCGCGCGAGTACGGTAATTGCTGATTCTTAACTTTTTTTGAGACTTGAGCTGACATTGCTATTCAACTTTACAACCGATTTCAACAGTTCTATATAAAAATCAGGCATAATTTTAAGGTTAACATGTTCATTAAATTTAGTTTGCATACATTTACCGTGCATAATGGAGTGCATATAATAATTAGGATTACAATTCCGTTTTCCGGGGTGCGGACTCAATTTTAAGGAGGGGACCATTGATGGAAATCAATCATACTTAATCCGCCGCATTCTAAACTTTGTATAAGGATTCTTCCCAGATGCACTAAAAAAGGCAAAGGTTATTCCCATCTCCATGCTCATACGGAATACGGGGATTACCTTTGGCTTTATTCAAAGATTATTTAAATAATAGGAAACAGTTTGTTAGTATCAATGGGATTAAATCAAATGAACTGCCACTAACGTGTGGTGTACAACAAGGGTCTGTGTAAGGCCCTACGTTGTTTCTTATATGTGTAAATGATATTGCACGTGCTACTAATTACTTTGACACTCGCCTTTTTGCAGATGATACCAGCTTATTTCATACCTTTAATACATATGATAATATTGACCTACATTCTGTAAATGAACAATTAAAACATTGCAGACTGGTGTGATTTAAACAAATTAACAATAAACTCAAATATTTTTCGTGGTAAGCACACAGTGGTCCAACTAAATGGTGCAATTTATATAAAAGGAGCGCAAATTGATGAAGCGGAATCTACAGAATACATTGGGGTAACTTTTGACAAAAATCTGGCATGGAAAGAACATATTGATAATAAGGTAAATAAAAGTATTAACTCTAAGGCAGGCTTGCTTTACAAATGAAAGAATTTTATTCCTCCTTCAATTTTGTTATTTTGTTTTGTCTTGCCACACATTTCATATGCACTTGAGGTCTGGGGAAGTACATATATGACACACTTAAAACCAATACGCCTTACTCAAAAAAGAATTGTACGCACTATAACACATTTAGACAGATTAGCACGCACACCATCACTATTTACAGAATTGGAAATCCTTAACATTTATAAACAATATGAAGTTCAATTAATTTTATTTGTTTACGACAGCATTAACCGCAGATTTCCTTTAACAATTCCTCAATATTTTTTCATGTTCAGCATTATGACACGACAAGGGCTCAAACAAAGGGGAATCTGACTATCCCAAAATATAAAAGTAATGTGGGACAATTCTCTGTTGGGTGTTCTGGTACTAGACTATGGGATGCGATTCCAGAATATATCAGACATGAATCAAAATCTGTTTTTAAGAGAGTCAGAACTAAAGTCATTTTTTATTGAAGTAAACTTACCCATTATTTATATGTATGTTTATGTAATCATGTATGTACTATATATTTTCTTCGAAATGAATTTTTTGATAAATTTTATTTATTCCTTTGCTTTGAAATGGTACATTTGATATTTGTTAGGTTGGAAAAGTAATAATTTTGCCCTATATGGAACTATGCAATTGTTTACGTTGAAAGGGACTGGACTTGATTAGTGTTTACACTATTTTCTAGCTCCTTCATATATTGGTTTATGTATTTATTTGAATTTTAGATTACTTATACTTACTGGAAAATAAAGTTGAAGTTGAGTCGTTCTTTTCATCTTTTCCCTCTTATCGCCGGATAAAAATCTATATAATACTTTAGAAAAAATATTTACTGGTACATTTATTATACTGGCGTTATATACCAGTTTCGATATGGCTAGAGGTTTAACGGTAATTTTACCAAAACACGATAAGTATCTTTTTTCCCATAATTTAAGTGTATTTTCTAAATCAAAATTTTTTTATCCCAAGTCTTTACTCCACACGCTTTCTGATTATATCTAACGTATATCCCCAGAAACCTGACTGACTCTTTCGTCCGAATGATAGTCAGTGGATTGGACAAGCCATTTTCTAAAGCACCTATTCACATATGGCCTACCCTTTGTTTTATTTTTTTTAAACTTTAACCGTGAAATTTTACAAAATGTTTCAATCTCACTGAAAAAATAATTCAAACTGTATTCATCTTGTGTAAATGTGACAGTATCATCTGACAATTGTGCTATTTTTACAATATTTTAGTTAATTTCAATCTTAGGCAAAACAATGCATTTGCACAGGGTATTGTCTCTTATATTTACGGCCATGACTTCCGCAACCAACATGAATAATAAGGCCGATAGCGGACATCCCTGTGTTACACCACATTCCATATTGAAATGCTCCGATAACCATTCATTATTTATCACAACACATTCTCTACCTGTTCTATACTTTTACCCTTATGTATATATGTGGGTGTGTATTAAGTGGTCCAGAGAAATTGTAAATTGTATGCTGTCTCCTAG